AAAAAAAAAAAAAAAAAAAAGGAAACCTGTAAACTTCACAGTTAAAGTAAGCCACATGTTAGAGAAAAAGAAGGTATTGTCCTCTAATCTTTCTTTTCCCTGGTGTTTTCAGCATGAATAAGTAGTCTGTATTAACTGTGTTTGTCTTCTCCCCCAGCTATGACACTGAACAGCTTATTGAGAACTTGGACTTGTCTTTGTGACTCTGGCAACACTGTCCACATGCTTCTGTCTATTCCTTGCTGAATTTTCAGAGACAATCTGGTACAGTGATATAGCCAATGTTACCGGCTCCCTGGCCATGAGATTGTAGCATCAGAGGATTGATGTCCCTTTATTCAAGGTAGCTTTTACCAGCCAAACTGTTACCTTTCTGTTATAGGTGGAAACAAGAGAAGATGAAGAACAAAATGTCAAGTTGACTGAAATTCTGGAACTCTTGGTTGCAGCTGGGTATTTCAGGGCAAGAATTAAAGGCTTGTCACCTTTTGACAAGGTAAGAGGAAGTTTTTCTAACCATTAGACTATTTTTCTTTTTTCAGGATAGCATGGATTATCATGGCAAAGAAAGGAGACAGAGATTACATGTTGATATTCCCATTTATTACTTATTCAGATTTATTATGGAAATATTCAAATTTTCTTTTCATATAGGCAGTCCCCAAGTCCTTGATTTGTAAACACCCAACTTATATACAACTCACACTTATGAACGGGGGCTACTACAGGTAATAAGTAAAGGCACCTCTTCCAACTTATGTACAAATTCCATTTAAGACCAAACCTATAGAATCTATGTCATTTGTAATACCAGGCACTACCTTTAATGATATATCAATAAACATGCCTCAAATTTCTTTTCTGTGCACAGAGCTTTAAGAAGTGCAAAGCAAAAGAAATATTTCCTTCCTTCAAAGAATTTACAGTTTAGTTGGAGATTGTAAGGCTTACCTGAGATAAAATAATCTTAGTTAGTAATGAGCTGTCCCAAGTCAGCGTGCTCACAGACAGTTGCCAAATACAATAAGTGATCTGATTTAGGAGGAAGGAGAAATCACTATGGGATAGTCTCTTGGTTCAGAAGAACCTTAAATAATTATTATGTCTAAAGCATGGGAATAGGTGTTGAGGATACAGAGATAAAACAAAGGCACTGTGATCAGAGCCCACCTTCTGTAAAGTACGGACAGTGGACAAGTAAACCAATGTGCATAGAATAAAAAGACTGATACAGCAAGTGCCACGGTGTACTGTGCACAGAAAGGAGGTATCTGAATCAGGGTAGGCCACAAAAGCTTCTGCTGCTTCAGGGGTCACAGTCCTGGCTGGACAGAACGGAATCACCCTGGGTTGTTTTTTAATACAGTTGTCTTAAACCTCACTCATTAAAATTTTGGTTAGTTAGATCTGGGCTGGGCCCTGGAATCTGTATTTTTATTTTTATTTTATTTATTTATTTTGGCCGGGGCCAGGTTTGAAGCTGCCACCTCCAGTATATGGGACTGGCACCCTACTCCTTTGAGCCACAGGTGCCACCCTTTATTTTATTTTTTATTTAATTTTATTTTTTTTTGAGGCAAAGTCTTATTATGTTGCCCTTGGTAGAGTGCAGAGGCTCACCGCAACCTCAAACTCTTGGGTTTAAGAGATTCTTTTGCCTCAGCCTCCCAAGTAGCTGGGACTATAGTGCCCACTGCAGCGCCCAGCTATTTTTGTTGTTGTTGCTGTTGTTGTTGCAGTTATCGTTGTTGTTTAGCAGGCATGGGCCAGGTTCGAACCTGGCTGCCTCAGTGTATGTAGCCAGCGCCCTAACCACTGAGCTACGGACACCAAGCTGAATCTGTATTTTATTGGACATCTCAAAGAAACTAAAACACAGCCAGGTATAAGATTCACTGTGTCAAGCTATGTCTGAAAAGGATTTTGATTCAAATTGAGTTTTTAGCTTTAATCTCATTCATTTCTCATAAATCCTATGGGAAAAGCAGAGCAGGGATTCTTAATTAAATAAATCAGAAAAATAAGATGTATGGAAACAGAATGTTGGCCTTACTGCCCAGACATCTAATTTATAAAACACATAATTAATGTCTGTCTCCTTCACTGTAAAGAGGATTTATGTGTGATGCGTTCATTTAATGATAAAAGTCAGCTTCTCAGTCATACCAGCCACATTTCACGTGCTTGGTGTCATGTGTGGCTGGCAGCTACTGCATTGGCCAGTGCAGATGCAGAGTGTGTCCTTCACTGCAGAAAGTTTGCAGCAGTGCTGTTGTATTTGAATTGTAGATGATGAGGTAGGGACCCTCTTTCGAGATACATAATTTTGTGTGTTTACTGAGTCTATATAATATGCCTACTTTCCACTTCTTCCCCTCTTTCCAAACTAGAAAAAGGAAACAAGTATGTTCTTTGTGTCTTACAGGTAGTGGGAGGAATGACTTGGTGCATTACCACTTGCAACTTTGATGTAGACGTTGATTTGCTCTTTCAGGAAAACTCTACAATAGGTCAAAAAATGTAAGTTATTAGGGTTTTCCTTGGAAGAACCGGAAGGTGGGGGGAGAAGAACTAACTTTTAAAAGTCTGCTATGTACCAGAAGTTGTGCTAGATGCTTTATGTATTTTATTTTGATTTTTGTTATTACAGGCATTATCCCTCTTTTATAAGTGAAACTGAGACTGAAAGAAGCCAAGGTCCCATAGCTAGCATATGAGTTTTTTAATGTTCAGGCTGATTCTGGTGACTTCTTAGTTTATCTGTTTCCAGAGATAGCAAATTTGGGTGGAAGTTGATAGGAGGAGGAAAGAAGAATCTTTCCTTACCCTTGGCCTCTATGTAAGGCAGAGACTCACTTTGTCTTCTATTGAGAAAAGGGAGCGTGGGCTCCTTGCTGGAGATCTCACCTTAAGGTACCCTACCTAGTCTTTTGTAGCTCCCCCGGGACGTGGCCATTTCGTCACACTATTTGGGATACCTGGTTCTGCTCCTAGCCCTGACAGTGGGCCACTGTGTGAGCTTGAGAAAGCTGCTCCTTTGGGCCTCAGTTCCCTTTTCTGTAAGAAGAGAGGTTTCCTGAGCTTAGATCTTTTATGATTCTGTGACTTTATTCATTTTCCTGAAGCATTATACTTTCCCCCAAATATTCTGAGTTTGTAGTGACACTGAAATTTAGACCCAGGTTTAATTTACTGTCTTTCAAACTATTTGCAGTGGAGGAGAAAACAGTGTACTAAATAAACACTCTTAAAAACTAAAGGAGGTCCGGGTGCAATGGCTTATGCCTGAATCCTAGCATTTTGTGAAGCCAAGGCTGGAAGATCACTTTGAGGCCCAGGAGTTTGAGACCAGCCTGGGCAGGAGTGAGACCCTCGTCTCTATAAAAAATAGAAAAATTAGCTGAGTGTGGTGACATGCATCTATTGTCCCAGCTACTCAGGAGGCCAAGGTGAGAGATTGCTTGAACCCATGACTTTGAGATTATAGTGAGCTATGATGACACTACTATACTTCAGCCCAGGTGAAACCTTGTCTCAAAAAAACCCAACCCACTTAACTAAAGGATTGAGACTAATCACAACTGGACATGCTAAAATTTTAGGCTAGGAAACCTACATGGGGACTGCTGCAATTGTTACTTTCTCTAATTTTTAGAAAATCTGGAGGATCCACCCTGAGCTCCAGGGAGAAGCTGAATGGGGACTCGTAGATTTCAGAAAGTATTTTTGACTTTTTTCCCTTGTCCCAGCCCACCGGTATTTTCTCCCATATCCCTACCTCCCAGCAGTGTTAATATCTTCACTTGTTTCCATGCACTGCTGAGACTGTCAAGACTGACTTTTGCAGTAATATCCGGGAGGTGGATTCAAGTGTATAAACTCAGATGACCTGAGATGTGCTTCCCTCGGGACTTTTATGAACTGGGTGAGAAGGCTAGCTCTGAGGGGTGGCCAGGGAGAACCTTTATAAAGCAGAGGATTAGACTGGATGGTGTTGGTCCGTTGGAGGTCCTGGCCTCTTTTTTTTAAGCTGTTCTAAGGCAATTGGTAACCCTGCAAATACTGGATGGATCTGTAACCACAGGAGGGAGCTCTCCTCCTGATGAACCAAAATGTAACCCAAATGAAAGGCTGTGTGGATCATGTGCCCCTATGTGTAGATAGTTAAGACCTCTGCTGAGCAAGGCTACAAAACCAAGGTTAATACTCATCTTCATTTGCTAAGGTTGGAGTTTGGGCAGCAGGGCTACTTACACATTTATCTTCTCCCCTACAAATTTCAAAGCGAGTAAAAACGAGGCATAGGAGTTTGATGGAGATAAAAATAAAAAGTAAAGCTTACTGAAGAAAGGGTCTTAGATATGTTGCCAAATGGGTTTTAGTACTGCCCTACCAAACTACCTCATTTGAGTCCCAAGAAGACCTGGACAATCACAGGCTTCACCAGGGTAGGCCACTCAGGGCTGAAAAGACAGATGCATCCCAAAGACACCCTGCTCAGAAAGGAGGGGCCCCAGGAGCAGATAAGTGCCACGTGGCAATTTCTTTCTTCCTCTCAGGACTTTTGGATAAATCACTCTTTACTTCTACTTCTGCTGGGGAGGAAGGGTGAGGAGGAGGCAGAGAATGTTCTTCCCAGTGCATCCTTCCTAGGAGATGAATGTTCCCTGTTTTCAGGGAATATGTGCAAAAAGGATATCAGTATTCCCTTCCTCATATTTTTTCTCTTAACATATTGGTCTTGACATTTTATCTTATCAGTGGGATGTAACTATTGTCCTCAGAAATTTTAATCTTGGTTCCAACTTGTGAGGCTGTTTTTGAGATATCAGACACTATTCCTTTTTTTCCTTTTCTGAAGCATTTAGTAAGTTAACTGACCCCTTGTTCACCAGGGCCTTGGCCTATTAAAAAATAGTCTTGTACTTACAGACAAGGCCACAGTAGCTGTTGTGACTGGCTATTCTTTTTTTTTTTTTTTCTCTGCAAGAGCTTGGTTAGAAATACAGATTATCACTAGTTTTATTTTTATTTTATTTTATATTTATTTTATTAGTTTTTAGTTTTATATTTTATTGTTTCAGATTTATTGAGGGTATAAAAAATTAGGTTACAATATTTGCATTTGTTAGGTAAAGTCCCTCTTATAATTGTGTCCTGCCCTCTGTTTTTTTTTTTAAAGGTCCTTGGGTAGGGATATAACCTAAGCTGTTCATACAGATTGAGCCAGAAGCTCACCAGGCATGGCCTTGTGGCCATTTCTGAAGGTCCCCAAGCTATATACCATAGCTTTGGAGTTTAGCAGACCCACTAAATAACCTCTTTCTCTTATTTTGAATCTAATCCAATTAAGATAGTGTGAGAAACAAGAATAACACAGTTAGAGATCAAATACCAGCTGATTAGAGAAAGTAGCCTCAAGCCATGATAAAACAGACTTACATCCAAGCCCCTCTGTTACTCCTGCCATAGAACTGTTTCACCCAGTCTGAGAACCTCCCTAGCAAGGAGAAGATGCTTACCTCTTAATGTAGGTAGAAGACCACTCTGGGACCTCACAAAGTCAAGTTTCTCCTCTCCCAGTCCTACTCATTCCTTAAGAGGAAGGTTGAAACAAGGTGATGTGGGTAGGTCAGTGCCTCCCTTATGAGAAGCAGAATATATCTACTCTCTGGAAATAAGGATGAGGAGACACAGTTTCCCCAAATAATAGGATTGGCTGTTTTTCTTTTTTTTTTCTTTTGGACACAAGGTCTCACTGTGTTGCCTAGGCAGGTCTTGAACTCCTAGGCTCAAGTGATCGCATTGCCTGCCTCAAATCCCTGAGTAGCTGGGATTATAGGTGTACAAGTGATTTTAGAGTATCAAAAACTGTAAAAGATATTTGTTTAAAAGTATTTTTATACCAGAATAGAGAACTCCAAATTTATTTTCAAAATGAGACCTTGTCAGGGGTGGGTAACCTGTGGCTATTTTAATAATTTTTTTTAATTTTTATTAATACATTTTTGTTTTTCTTTTATATATATATAAAATATATATATATATATATATTTTGAGACAAAGTCTCATTTTCTCACCCTTGGTCGAGTGTTGTGGCATCATTGTTCACAGCAACCTCAAACTCTGGGCTTAAGTGATTCTCTTGCCTTAGCCTCTCGAGTAGCTGGGACTACAGGCACCCGCCACAACGCCCAGCTATTTTTAGAGACAATGTCTCACTCTGGCTCAAGTTGATCTCAAACCTGTGAGCTCGGGCAATCCACCCACCTCAGCCTCCCAAGTGTTGGGATTATAGGCATGAGCCACTTTACCCAGCCCCCTTTTCTTTTATATTTTTATTTTATTTTAAAAATAAATCTAGGATTTGTTCTGTAAAATTTGGATTCAGTCAAAAGGCTGTCCTTAAGGACTTAGAAGGCCACAGGTTTATCTTAATATTCTGAGCATCAAGCACAGATGCCTGAATAATATTTGGGATGAATATTTTTATGTGTAAACTAGTAGTTTACAAACTTTTTAAAAATGAAGGTCAGTAAAATGAAATATAAAAGAATGTGGGATGCTGAAAATTTTATTTTTTTGCAGTTTTTGGCAGGGACTGGGTTTGAACCCGCCACCTCTGGCATATGGGGCTGATGCCCTACTCCTTTGAGCCACAGGTGCCGCCTGAATGCTAAACTTTTTATTTTACTATCTAAGGATGCTAAAAAATAACTACTGCTTCTGACATTACTGTGACTTCACAAAGAAACCAAATATTTTACTGTCAAAAAAGTAGAAAAACAACATCTTAGAATAAAGGATGAAGGTAGTTCTTTGGCCATAAATGCACACTTCTAATTTGTGCTTATTTTTTTTTATTTTGTAGTCAACCAGGAGAGTCTTGGTTGTGGTCTGCAGTCGCCTAGCAATGGCCTGGCATTGAGAATCCCCAGATTCTTCTGGGGTACTGACCAGACTTTAGAGATGTCAAAACCACTCAGTGCGTTTTACTCTTTGTTCTTTTTCTGAACAGAGCTCTATCAGAAAAAATTGTCTCTGTCCTGCCGAGAATGAAATGCCCACACCAGCTGGAGCCTCACCAGATCCAGGGGATGGATTTTATTCACATATTTCCTGTTGTACAGGTGAGAGCTTCTATGTGGTTTCTTATCTTCTGACTATCAGAATTCCTGTGGTGGGCCTGGCTCTTTGTGCTGGCTCTTTGTCCATCTGACCTAGATCCTGAATTCAGTGGGTGTGGTCTGAATTTGGTACAGCCAAACATGATGTGTTTCTTGTTGTCATCCTCCAAAGATTGCCAATACTACATATACCACAGTTGTACTTTGTCACCTATTATGATCTTTGATTGTTCCCATCAGTGGCTTTCATTGCCCTTTTGGTGAAGATAGATAGAACTGTATAGCCCTGTATGCTTTGGTTCTATCTGACCTATAAGCTTGGTTTCATTCCTTGCTTTTCCTTTTTCTTTTTTTTCTAGCCCCTCTGACTTTCTCATCGCCCTGTACTCTCTTCCTGTCACAGGGCCTTTTGCTGGTTCCTTAGCTGTAATACTTGTCCATTTTCTCCTTAGCTGCTTAATTCATATTCTTTAAGGTCTGAGTCCAGAAAGCCTCTTCAAGAAAGCCTTCCATCATCCCCTAATCTACAGTAAGTTCCTTTGTTGTATGTACCCATATGGCCACATCCCTTTCCTTCACAGGAATCTTCCTTACTACAGTTTGTAAGCACTTATGTTTGTGTGTGATTATTTATCTGCCGGGGCCGGTAGACTGTAAGCTGTATGAGGACAGGTTACCTGACTGTCTTGCTCACTGATTTGTCTTTAGCATCTACCAGAATGTCTTACAGTTTGCAGGTATTTAGTCCTTATTTTATGACTGCGTGACTAAGGGGAGGCCTCTCTGTGCCTCTGACTTTTTCTTAAGGCTCCGTGATTAAGTGGGTGCTGTATAGCCTCCAAGCAGTTCACTCTCCATATCTATAGTTCTGTATTCACACATTCAGCCAATCATGGATTGAAAATGTTCAGGAAGAAAAAACACAAAGAAAACAATATAAAAAATAATACAAATTAAAAAGTACAATATAACAACTATTTACATGGTGTTTGCATTATATTAAATATTATAAGTAATCTGGAGATAATTTACAATATACAGGAGGATGTGTGTAGTTTATATGCAAATACTATGCCATTTTATATAAGGAACCTGAACATCTGTGGATTTTGATATCTGGTGGGGGGGGGGCTGGAACCAATCCCCTGTGGATACCGAGGGACAACTGCGTTCTGTGCAATTCTTGTGTCCAGGCTTCCCCCTTAGGCACCTTTGAGGGAGGAGCAAAGGTATGTTGCCTGCTGTGTGAACATTACGTTGCATCTGATCCTAATAGAGTTCTTTGAAGCATCTTTTATAATCCCTTGCATTTGAGGAAAGTGAGATGTAATTTCCTTACATTTGAGGAAAATGAGACTCAGGATAGTTTATTTGCTTAAGATCAGAGAACTAGTAAGCGGACAAGAAAAGGTTCTAGTCTAAACTCTGTGGAACACTCCACCCATCTTGCATCTACTGAGAAAGAAACTGCACATTCCTTCCTAGAAAAGCCTTCTAGTTCTTTGTTAAGATTATGTATGGGTTCAGCGCCTATGGCTCAAGTGGCTAAGGTGCCAGCCACATACACCTAAGGTGGTGGGTTTGAATCCAACCCTGGCCCACCAAACAACAATGATGGCTGCAACCAAAAAAAAATAGCCAGGTGTTGTGGTGGGCGCCTGTGGTCCCAGCTACTTGGGACGCGGAGGCATGAGACTTGCTTGAGCCCAGGAGTTGGAGGTTGCTGTGAGCTGTGATGGCACGGCGCTCTACCCAGGGGGACAGCTTGAGGCTCTGTCTCAAAAAAAAAAATAGCCGGGTGTTGTGGCAGGCGCCTGTGGTCCCAGCTACTTGGGAGGCTGAGGCAGGAGAATCTCTTGGGTTCAGGAGTTGGAGGTTGCTGAGAACTGTGATGCTACAGCACTCTACCCAGGGTGACAGCTTGAGGCTCTGTCTCCAAAAAAAAAAAAAAAGATTAGAGGAGTTAAGAGCACAGACTCTGGAGACCTCCTGAGTTCTAATCTCAGCTCTGCCACTTTGTAGCTATGTGATCTTGGGCAAATGACTTAATTTCTTATCTGTTAATTAGAAATAATTATTGCCACCTACCTAGTAGGATGTGAATTAAGTCAGTATGTCTAAAGCACTTAGATGAAAGACTAGCACATTTACGTAAGTACTTTATAAGTGTTACATAGTTGTTTCTGCTATTGGTATATGTTGAATGTTCCCCTGCACTAGACTTCAAATTTGTAAATCTTTAAAATGAACTTTGTAAATTTGGAGCCAAGACTTTAACTTAGATTTGAGTTGTATGTTTGTTGGACTTTCTCCAATGCAGGGGGATTCTACTTGATCCTCTTTGTGTAAATGGAAAACTGGGGTTCTGGGTTGATAATTACTGGAACCACCAACACCATAATACTCCAAAGTTGTTACCTTTGTCCCCACAGCATGGGTCTCAGGGATGAGAAGATGGTGAATTGGAATTGCTTGTCTGTAGTCAGTTTGGGGATTTTGAGGGTCTTTGTATGTTCTCATTATGAGTGGACTGTCTCAGGGGTTCCTGTCTGGATGGGAGCGCCTAGGTGAATGGTTACCAGATTTCTTAATTTGTGTACCTATATAGAATTTTAAGGCAAAAAGGAAGCTTAATCTAGGATTGTCACCTGTAGTTGGCCAGGCAAGGACATTTTTAAAACCAGCTATCTTTCTCTATCATTTTCTAAAAGAATGGCCATTTAGTTCCCAATCTAAGAAAAAAGCACAGTCTTTCAAATTAAATACATTTTGCATTATGAAAAGCTCACCATGTGCTTATAGTGTTTTCCTGTTTCTCTGGGCACCAGAGAGGAGAATAATTTTGGACCAGCAGTTGGGAACCATTGACCTAGGTTGAATGAGTCTTGAGATAGTCTAGGCTCACTACTCATGTTCACACTATTATGGCAAAATTATAGTAACAGTGAATGCCAGACAAGAAAAAAACAAATCTAACTTTCAGCTACTCATGGTTCTAAGTCATATCATTTTTCCACATCTGGTATCTGAACCCTGTGAAGGTTGATTTTTTTGAGTGTTAGGGGCACTCTGTGGCCCAGCTTGACTATGTATGAGGTTCCCTCCACAGCCCTTTATGCCAGGAACTGTAAAACAGACCTGTCAGTTCTCTAAGGGAATCCTATGACTCAGCAGGCATTCTCTTTCTTACCTGATCACATTCTCTAGGATCCAGCCAGGTAGTAACTCAGAATAGATCTATGATTAATGGAGGTACATCTGAAAAGGAAACAGATATGAAAGGCCAGAAACTGAATCTCTTGATTCAAAAGAAAGCAGAGCTACACTGATGTGAGCAATAAGTCAACTGCCTTACTTGACCAGTAGTTGTTCTAAGGTGTAGGTGTGGGAGTGTGGATGAAGGATTGTATTAGTTCTGAATGCTGTCCGATCTTCTGCCTCTGCTTCTACATTTGAGTCAGTGGCTGAGGTCATTGTTTGCAGATGGGGTAGAATGGTAGAACCAATTGGAGGAATATTCCTCATATAGTTATTTGCACCACCACCCCCAAACCGGCAGCTACTTCCTTTACTTGAGCTGGCTGCCCTCTGTGAACAAGTATCTTTCTTTCCCTATGAGAGCACCATGCAGGACCGTGTTACATGCCGTGTGTCTACTCTCCTAGGCTCACCAAGTGTGCTATGCTCTTGGTGAAGCACAACTACTATCCTTAAACTATTTTTGAGATGTAGCAGCTCTGGAGAGGTAGTGATATCCCCCTCTATGATCTTCAGGGGTAAAGGGAATGAATGAAGAGCCAGGGAGGAGTGTATAGTTTACACTTCTACCCCAGAATGGCTGGATCTTCTGCAGGGAGTTGGTTTTTTGGGGGGAGGGCAATTAATTAGAGTTTTAAGTTAGGAGAAATGAAGAGGAGCTGCTTCTGAGTATCAGCCAGTAGAGCCAGGGAACATTTAATAAAGCTCATTTGTCCAGTCTCCTGATGGGGTAGAGGCTCCAAATTATGTCATCTAGCTTTGTAGCTTGCTAGCTACAGATCAACACGCAAATTATGTGATCTCTCTGCACTTTAGGTCTTGTAAGACTCAGCCAGTGCTATCTACTTTATAATGTTTGAGGATTAAGGGAATGTTAGTATCAAGCTAACCTAGTGCCTTCAGCTATGTATTCAGCATGTACTGTCTCAAATCTGAGTATTTGGGGCTTTTTTTTCATCCACCAAATGAGGAGTTATACTAGTGTTCTGTGTGGTTCTTTCCCTGGTCTGTGTTGCAGGTAGCACAGGAAAGAGACTTACATTAAGATCTGTTACTGGGACCAGGAGGCTGGGGGTGTAGCTATATTTGTTTTGTGCGTCAGATATTTATAAAGCACTCTGCTACTTGTGATCTCATTTGTTCATGCATTAGCTCTGTAAAGTAAAAAACACTGACATTCTGGTCTTTACAAAGAGGAAAACTGAGGCCTGAGGATAAGAACTAAGGCTTTAAAGCTCTGCATTGGTACTCAGCACTAGGTCTCACTGGATCTTAGTATCTCAGATACCTGGCTGATTGCTTTTCCTATAAGACAACATGTCTTTGATAGTTTCTTATCACCTAGTGATACTATATTCAGCTATACTAATTTGGGTTCATCACTTGTGCCATGACTGAGTTGGCCTTCACTGTGGTAGAATTTTGCCCCATCAACTCACGTCTTTTCACTTTCTTCCCCAGTGGCTGGTGAAACGAGCTATAGAAACAAAAGAAGAAATGGGTGACTACATCCGTTCCTATTCTATATCCCAGTTCCAAAAAACCTACAGTCTCCCTGAGGTCAGTACTGTGCTTTAATTTCCTTGTCCAACTGAGAACCTGAGTGCACACTTAGAGTCTCTCCAAGAAGGAGAGTCTTGGAAAGACTCAGGCTTCCTTATACCCCCTCTTTCCTATTTGGCATTTCTGGGCCTACTTGTTCCTGTCCCAATATTGAAACTAGGCTTTGTGGTTCATTAGAACTGGTCTTTAAATGGCTACTGAGTATAAAGCCCTACAATTTTGTCATTTCCTTCAAACTTTGGTCTTTGATCTAGAACTTTTATCAATTTACAAGAATAAAAATATATGACCACTTGTCTATCCTTATAGAAATAATTTAATACAGTTACAGCAACTATAATAATAGCTCATAACTATTGAATATTTACTACTTTCCAGTTCTAGCACATCATCTGGCTTATATTCTTGAATATTCACAGTAGCTGCCTGAGATAGATGTTGTTTTCCCTGTTTAGTAGGAGGAGAAACTAAGACTTAGATGTTTGGTAATTTGCTTGAAGTGCCAGTGCTTACATGAAATGAGAAGAACACTTGTCTGGAGCACTACACTATGGCCCTCCTTTTTCTTTTCCTTTTTTTTTTGAGACATAGTTTCACTGTGTCACCTTTGGTATAGTGCGGGGGCGTCACAGCTCACAGCAACCTCAAACCCTTGTGGGGGTTTGTGATTATGTGATTCTCTTGCCTCAGCCTCCCAGTTAGCTGGGACTACAGGCACCTGCCACAATGCCTGGCTATTTTTGTTTGTTTGTTTGTTGTTGTTCCAGTTGTCATTGTTGGTTAGCTGGCCTGGGCCGGGCTCCAACCTGCCAGTCTTGGTGTATGTGGCTGATGCTGTAACCAGTGTGCTGCGGGCGCCAGCCTTCCTTTTTCTTATTGGCTGTAGGGATTTATGTTGGAGCTGTCTTAGAGATCCTAGCGTTTTTCTAGAGAATATATTCCAGTCTATTAAAAAATTGAAACTTTTCCAGGCAATGTATTATTTAGCAGTCAGTTTATAATGTATGTTTCTAAGCAGTCCAGTAGAGTTTTAATCTCACAAGGGATTTGTTTAATTTGTTTTGTCTTATAGGATGATGACTTCATAAAGAGAAAAGAAAAGGCCATCAAGACAGTTATTGACCTCTCAGTAAGTTCCTTGTTGTGTCTTCCTGTCAGAGCACTACATTGCCTTCAAATAGCCTTTTGATTTAAACCACAAAAGTGTTGCTCCTTGAGGTTTTTATGTACAGGGACTACCTAGGCATTGGCCTAACGTGGGTGTGTGAGGGAAGTCCTGCTTGGATCACTCATTGCTCAGGACCAAGATGTCAGCACTCACTGGTAGAACTTGCCACAACCAATGAATGCCCTGTGTTCTCACTTCCAGTTTTAAGGTAGAAATAGCCAAATGCAAAGACCCTCTTCATTTACCTAAATGGCAGGTATGGACTTTGAATAGCTCCAGAGAGCAGATGATGAACTGGAGATGGTAAGTTGAGGTTAGTCTTTAACCCTGTGACAGTTTTGGAGAGGCAGAGTAGCTTCTGTGCTTTGTGTGAGAAATTCTGGGATGGCCTTTGTCACCATACGCAGTATTTTTTAATCACTGGGAGTCAGCAAGCATGTACCTACTTTCCCAGCTTAGGGGCAATGGAGAACTTTGATCCTTTACACAGCATACCAGGCCAGGGCCCACAGAATCTTGTCAGCTGTAGCCTCCACTGCCCAGCCTTCCTGCCTGAGCTGAGGGGAATGAATCCAGGAAGCTAGTGTGTACATTTTCTTTTATTCCTGAAAATAATGTATAGTGTTATTTTGCATACTTTTTACTTTATCTAAATTATGTCATACTAAATATTTTACTCAACTTTGTTAGTGAGAATCTATTGTGTGTGTGTGTGTCCTAGTTGGTTTTTATTGTTCTATAATATATTGTCTTAATATGCTACCTAGCTTCAATATCGGGTGTACTTTTTTTGGAAACAACTTGGGTTCTATGCCCTGTGTAATTGTAAAGATTGAAGTTACTGGCTTGCTTGGCTTTGTGAACTGGCTATGAAGTCTTTCCAGAAAAAGAATTTTGAAAAATAAATGTGTGGTCTCCCGAGGTAATTACTCTGAAAAGAACAACAATCATTTGATGATTAAATGTGTGAAGTCCTTATGTAAAAACACACACGTCTTTATCATTTTACTATTGTAATTCCTATCTTTTCTTCACTTCCACTTTAGAAATGGGAGGGGTGGAAAACCTTTAAGGTGTAGTGATACTCTGAAGCCATGTATTGTTTTCAGATTTGGTGGCAGTGTTAATAATAATTAGAAGAAATTATTTGGTATCAGAATAGTTTTCTTATAATGATATGGGTGTTCAGTTTAGAGCATCCTTAAAGTTTTTAAAAAGACTGATAGATGTAGGGAAAGAAGATCAACCTTGCTCTTAGAGAAGCAGCCGTATATTTCGTCCATGTTTTTAATGTGCATTTTTAAACCAAATTGGAACCATACTTTAAAGATAATTTTATATGTTTTTTCACTTAAATATTTCTCCAAAGAACATTTCTCATGACAATAATCAATTGGTTGGGTATGCTAATACTTTATTTTATTTTAAATAATATTTCATTTTTGGAAAGAGGAAAACCAGGTTGCAGCATTACCTCTGAATCAGGGAACTGGAGGGCCAGCAGCAAGGAGGAAGGAAAGGAAGGTTTTTTTCCCTATAACCTCTCTACTCTTTCAATGTTATGCTTAGTCTATGTATTACATGTCCAAAAATAATAAATACAGGTTAAAAAATTGTTAATATGTACTCGGATATCTTCATATATAAATCTCACCCTGAGCCCAACATAGAAAAAAATGTGTAACCCAGAATCAAAGGTCAGCATAGCTAAGAGTCATCTTAGCAATTAAACTAGGTCTGACATTTCTATACCCTTGGAATAGTTAAGACCTCTAAAGGTAAAGCTCTTCCCACTGGAATGGAGTTTATCTTTTTGTTTGTTTATTTATTTAGACCAGAGGTTCTCAAGCTGTGGGGCGCCACCCCTTTGGTGGGTTTCCTGCATATCAGATATTTACATTACGATTCATAACAGTAGCAAAATTACAGTTACAAAGTAGCAACAAAAATAATTTTATGGTTGGGGGCACCTGAGGAACTGTATTAAAGGGTCGCATTAGGAAGGTTGAGAACCACTGATTTAGACAGTCTCACTGTGTACCCTGGGTAGAGTGCTGGGGTGTCATAGCTCACAGCAACCCCTCTTGCCTTGGCTTCCCGAGTAGCTGGGACTGTAAGTGCCAGCCATAATGCCTGGCTAGTTTTTGGGGGTTTTTTTTTTTTTGTTTTTTTTAGTATAGATGGGATCTTGCTCTTGCTTAGGCTGGTCTCAAACTCCTGAGCTCAAGAAATCTACCCGCGTTGGGCTTTCAGAGTGCTAGCATTACAGGTGTGAGCCACTGCACCCAGCATATATCTTTTTTTAAAATACACTTCTACTGTCTTTTTTTTTTTTTTTAATTCACTTCTGCTTGGTAATATGACAACATAGAATTTAAGGAAATAATAACGACAAAGACTTACATAGTGCCCCAACTTTGTTGCATATGTATATCTATAATTCATCTAGACTTCCCAGCAACCCTATGAAATAGTATTTTTTTTTTTTTACAAATGAGGAAACTGAAGCAGAGATAAATTTCTCTAGGTGACATTGGCAATGACAGCCAAGACTCAGATCCTGTCTTGTAATCACTTTCCATGAGCCTCAAGATAAAATGGTGCTTGTGGCTCAAGTGACTGAGGCACCAGCCACATACACCTGAGCTGGCGTGTTTGAATCCAGCCTGGGGCCTGCCAAACAACAATGATGGCTGCAACCAAAAAATAGCTGGGTGTTGTGGTGGGCACCTGTAGTCCCAGCTCCTTGGGAGGCAGAGGCAGGAGAATTGCTTGAGCCCAGGAGTTGGAGGTTGCTGTGAGCTATGACGCCACGGTACTCTACCCAGAGCGACAGCTTGAGGCTCTGTCTCAAAATTATATATATATATATAGTTTATAGCTGATTAGAAAATAATATCAAAATGAAAGAAAATGGGAAAAAATGTCTCTTTGGTTATAATTTGCATTGCTTAGTTTATTTCCTTTTCATGTGGGAATTAATACTTTTTCAGCAAGAGTGATAAGGAATTTTTATGCACAGCTAGCTGTTGCCTTTGGGTTTTATTTGTTTTCTTCTTTTCTCATCTACTGAAAGTACTTTGCACTTCTAGGCTTAGGTTTCTTAGCTGAGCGCCTTTACCATTAACTTTCACCCCTCCTTTCTACCACTTGTGCAAGCACTTCCTAGCTTGAATCTAACATCCCAAAAGATCATAAGAGACTTCAGGGACATAATGCATATCCCTGGCTTGTTCTTGTGAGTCAGTATGAAAAACTAAGTAACTTACTTTTTTTTATTTGTTGTCATCTCTTCAGGGAAAACACCCGCCTTAGTAAAGGGAAGGAAGTCTTTCCTAGATAACCAGGTCATGTGGCTCTTTACAAGTCTCAGGTTCTTCTTTTAGCCTTTTCCTGGTTCTGCCTTTTAGATAACCTACTCTTCACTGGTGAATTCAGAACCTAAATTTAAATTGTGAATGGAAAATTATGGAATAAAATAAAGCTAAGCATACAGGTGCCTAGTTTCTAGACCCAGCCTTTTATAAAATACATATGTAGTTGCCATGGTATTTATTAAGTGCCTTCTGTGTACCTGGCACCTAAATAAGCATTTTTCAAGTATAATCTCATTTATCCCTCATCAACACTCTGGAAGTTCTATGTTATTATTTTCCTTTTATGAAATTAACGCTCAGAGAGGTTAATAAATTTCTTATGCATCTTTAGAGGTAGGAAGAGGCTGCTAGATTTTGATTTTATATCTGACTCTTAACACAATAGATGTTGGCACTTCTACCATTTTCTAACTCTTGACCTGATCTCTGATTTTCCAAATATTCCTGGCACCAATTTTGCAGTAATGTCATTGACTTATGTCAGGATTCTGGGGTATTATTCATCTGGGTCCCGGAGACTCAAATTCATCTAGGAGAGTTGGGTACTCCCCCACCACCTCTTTAGTCCCTGTGGGGGCACTGGGTATGACTGATCTCAAGTGGATGCCAGGTGGAGGTTGGCTTCTCTTTTTTCATCTGATAACATGATACCATTTTGCCTTAACCAGTAGGCTTTTACTTATTCTGCTCATACATAAGCTAAAAGTATCAAACATTTAAATATTTAATATTTAGCTTATTCTTTTTTTTTTTTTTTGAGATAGAGTCTCACTTTATCAAACCCGGTAGAGTGCCCTGGAGTCATAGCTCACAGCAACCTCAATCTTGGGTTCAAGTGATTCTCTTGCCTCAGTCTCCCAAGTAGCTGGGACTATAGGCACCCTCCACAATGCCTGTTTTTTTTTTTTTTAGAGATGGGGTCTTGCTCTAGCTCAGGCTAGTCTTGAACCTGTGAGCTCAGGCAATCCACCCACCTCCACCTTGCCAACCTTTGAAGACTGTCCCAGGCTTTTGCATCGTCTTTGGTCTGCTTTTTTAGTACATTTTTTTTGTTTTAAAATTGTTTTTTATGCTAATACCATAGCAATAAGAATGAAAAATTAGGAAATGGAGAAAAGCTACAGAGACTAAATCACCCATGATACCACCAGCCAGGGATAACCACAGATAGTCCAGGTAGGAAATACAGAACTATGGAAGTCAATATAGAGAATTACAGATTGCAAATAAATAAATAAATAAATAAAAGTGACTTTATACTACATGTTCTGTTTTATTACTTGCTTGTTTTGCTCACCAATATATCAAGGCTATCTTTCCATGCCAGTGAATATACATACTGTTTTTAGTGTTAATACACATTACTCATTGTGTGGAACTAATTTAGCCAGTTTAGTTTGTATCTCTTTTTTTCCTCTTGGCCCATTGTGTAGGGCATCCTGAAGGCTAATTTTTGTTCTTTTTTCTCTAAATATATATATAGATAACTTAGGATCCATTCCATGAAGTGGAATTGGGTCTAAGGTTATGCCTAAGGCTTTTAGTACCTCTTGCTAGATTGTCTGGCAGACTGGCCTTTGAGAA